CTTTACTAAAGCATCATATTTTCTGCCATATGTTTTTTTTTGCTTTGCTTTTTGGGTCACACCTGGCGATGCTCAGGGGACCATATGGGATGCTGGGACTCGAACCCGGGTCGGCCGCGTGCAAGGCAAACGCCCTACCCACTGTGCTATCTCTCCAGCCCCTGCCACATTCTTAATGACTGGAAGGTCACTAGTCCTGACTATTCAGGATTAATGTGGAGCTAAGGTTCCTGGGCTCCCACTTACAGAGCCCAAGGTCCAGCCTCATGAGCATCTTCCCAGCCCATAATTAATTTTATCAACACATCACCTTATTACAGATTTCATCTGTCACTGTCACTGTCCTCTGATTTGCTTGAGCGGGCCCAGTAACGTCTCCACTTTGAGACTTGTTGTTACTGTGTTTGGCATATTTGAATACGTCATGGATAGCTTGCCAGGCTTTGCCGTGCGGGCGAGATACTCTCAGTAGCTTGCTGGGCTCTCCGAGAGGGGCGGAGGAATCAAACCCGTCTTGGCTGGGCTGGCTGCGCGCAAGGCAAATGCCCTACTGCTGTGCTATCACTCCTGAGAAAATATCCCCAAATAGGGGGCACGGTGCCACCTGTATCTGTGGGGCAAGTACAGCAGCAGCCTGATGGTGCCGTCAGGCTTTCTGATACCCCAAATTGCCACTGTGCCTCTGGCAGAACCCAACGACTCAGGACCAAGTTTCCCAAGAAATTAAATGGCCAAGTTAGGTATGCAGGAGCCACACCCACAAACCACCTCCAGCTCAGCTACGCAAGTTCATTTAGCAGCCTTGCTTCAGAGATCCATATATAAATTTTGAAAGAGATCCAAAGCCGCAGTTAAATCTTGGGACCTGCACACGGCTGAAAAGACAGGGGTTAATCAGAGGGGCGTGGTTCATCCTGGTGCCTATCGAAGCAGAGCCCCGCAGCAGCCACTTGCTCCCACAATCCAAAATTGCCATGCCCAAGTCAGACTCCACCATCTCTGGACAGACCTCACTGAGATATAATCTACCGATAATTTGGGTAAGTGGCTTTTGTGACTGAAATCTTCAGGCTTTCTTGGGGTTGGCATAGACTACCTCCCCCCACCGCTCCATACTAATGGAAGCACCAGCAGTCACCCCCATGAACCAACTAACCCCAGTGCCAATGTAAACTCTTCTGGCCTTGCTTCAGAGACCCATAAATAAATCTCTAAAGAGATCAAAAGCCACAGTTGATCCTGGACCCGTGAAAGGCAGAACAGACTAATGTACAGACTAGAGTAAATCGGAGGGAGGGCAGATCAGCCTGGTGCCCACCCAAGCAGAGCCCCTGGCAGCCACTTGCTCCCACAATTCAAAATTGCAGCCAAACCCCAGGCCAGATTCCACTGCCTCAGGATGGATCTCACCTATATTCTGCTGAAAATTTGGGTATGTGGGTTTTGTGACTGAAATCTCCAGGCTTTCTCAGGGTCGGGATGGGCTACCTCCCCCCACCTCCCTGTACTTCCAGAAGCCTCTGCAGTCACATTCACACCCCAAAACTGCCAATCAGTTAAAAAACTACTCCAGCCTTACCTTCCCGATAAAAATGCCCTGAAGAAATACAATGACCTCTTAGTACCTGTACTGCAAACCATATTGCACAAAAGAGACAAAGAGAAAGAGAGAGAGAAAAAGAGAGAGACAAAGAAAGAATGAGATAGAGAATGAGAGATAGAGAGAATGAGAGAGAGAGAGAGAAAAAGGGTGCTGCCATGAGGCAGGCAGGGAGCCTGTTTGGGGGTGGCAGGAGGGAGATGGGGGACACTGGTGGTGGGAGGTCTACACTGGATGGGTGTTGAACACTGTATGACTGAAACCCAATCATGAACGCCTTTCTAAAGGTCTATCTCATAGATATTCAATAAAAAAATTTTTTAAAAGAAAAATATCCTCAAATTATTTTAATCATACTGTGTTATATGAACCAATGTAACAAATACAATACACACTTTTTTTTCTATTAAACTACACAGTAATCTTATGAGAGATAATTCTCTCAATTCACTTTATGGATTATCAACTGTCATAAAAAAACACATCATTAGAATAATTCAAAAACAAACTAGTGGGAGTCCTCCACCGTCGACTGTGCTCAAGGCTTACTCCGGGCAGTGCCCAGGGGACCATAAGTGGTGCTGGGGATCAAACCCAAATAGGCTGTGTGCAAAGTAAGTGCCTTAGTCATTGTACTATCTCTCTGGCCCTGAATAAAAAATGTAAAGATTACGGGGCTAGAGAAATAGCACAGCAGGTAGGGCATTTGCCTTGCACGCAACCGACCCGGGTTCGATTCCCAGCATCCCATATGGTCCCCTGAGCACCGACAGGAGTAATTTCTGAGTGAGTAACCACTGTGCATCACCGGGTGTGACCCTCCCCCCCAAAAAAGTAAAGATTACAATTTAGACCTGACACTTTATTAAAACAAAGAATTAAATTCTAGGGGCCAGAAAGATAGTTCAATGAGCTACAGCATATGCTTTGCAGATAGGAGACCCAAGATCCACCCCCAGCACCACGTACGGTTGCTGAGCACTTCTATAAGTGACTCCTGAGCTAGGATTAGCCCCGAAACACTACTAGGTATATCCCTAAAATAATAAAAATGTTGGTTTGGGGGCCACACCGTGGCTCTGCACTCAGAGATCATTCCTGGTGGGCTTGGGAAATCATAACTGGTGCTAGGAATCGAACCCAGGTTGGTCATGTGCAAAACATGCGCCCTCCCTGTTGCTTAAGTCCCATTAAGCAATATTATTGCTTCAGTCCCATGTTCAACTGCTACGTCATGCTGAGCTCATTTTCAATTATGGCCATTATTTGCAATCAAGAATCAATTGCCCGTAACTTGTGCCCTGTAACTTGTTGTAGTATCTCTCCCTCCCCAAAACCACTCTAGCACTGTCCTCCCGTTGTTCATCAATTTGCTCAAACGGGCCCAGTAATGTCTCCATTGTGAGACTTCTTGTTACTGTGTTTGGCATATCCAATACATTACGGGTAGCTTGCCAGGCTTTGCCATGCAGGCGAGATACTCTCGGTAGATAAGTACCAGGAGGTTAACTCCATGCCTTGGAGGTCAGCCGCACATGCGAGGGGAAAAGGCAGCTCAGATAGAGAAGGGAGCACCAAATAATGGGTGTTGGGAGGATCCTCCCAGGATTGGAGATGCATGCTGAAAGTAGAATATAGACTGAACATGATTGCTACTCAATGCCTCTTTTGCAAACCACAGTACCCAAAAGGAGAGAGAGAACAAAAGAGAATGCCCTGCCACAGAGGCAGGGTAGGATGGGGGAATGGGGGCTGGGAGGGATACTGGGATCATTGGTAGTGGAGAATGGGCACTGGTGGAGGGTTGGGTACTCGATCATTGTATAATTGAAACCCAAGCACAAAAATCTGTAAGTCTACAACTGTACCTCATGGTGTTTCACTAATAAAAATTAAAAAAAAAAAAAAGATACTCTCTGTAGCTTGCCAGACTTTCCGAGAGGGGCTGAGGAATCGAACCCAGGTCAGCTGCGGGCAAGGCAAATGTCCTACCCACTGTGCTACTGCTACTAGTACAGTATATAAATATACAGAAAAACGATTGCAAGGAAACATAGCTAACTACTGATAAAAAATAATGCATCACTTTTAGTTTTGTCTCTACCCTTTTCTCCATGAGTTCTATTTACAATAAGCAAATATATAATTAGGGAAAGTTCTATTGTTTCTAATAAACATTTAGTAAAAGGCAATGATTCTGGTAAAATGTAAAATGCAATTATAATTCTGCTCAGAATACTACAATTACATTATTCTCAAATTGTCATTTCTGTTATAAAATTCTCCTATGATGAACTGGCTAGTGTTAAAATGTCTAGGTCTGTGGGCCTGGAGTAATAGTACAGTGGGCTAGTGTGCTTGTGTTGCAGGTGTATGACCCAGGTTTGATCCCTGGCATGTCATAAGAGTTCCTTGAGCCCTTCCAGGACTGATCCCTGAGCATAGAGGCAAAAGTAAGCCCTGAAACCTGACAGCTGTAGCCCCAAAACCTTAATTAATTAAACACCTAGGTCCAGGTGGGTACTTTCAAGCTGACAGTTAAACGAGTACTCAGGTCACGATTAATTACAAGGAGCTTAGTTTCATTTGTGCTGGGGGCGACACCCAGTGATGCTCAGAGGTCATTTCTGGCTCACACTCAGGAATTACTCCTGGCAGTGCTCGAGGGACTATATGGGATAACAGGGACTGAACCCAGGTCAGCCACATGCAAGGCAAATGCCCGCCCTGCTGTACTATCACTCTGGCTCTCATGTAAGATTTTTTTTGTCTAACACCTTAGCATGACTGAGGTGGTGTGCTGCCATCCAAGCTTCACGATGCCTCCCAAAGATGACAAGAAAAAGAAAAATGCTGGAAAGCTGACCAAAAAAGACAAAGACCCAACGATCAATGAAGAAAAGGAAGAAGTGGTCCAGAGGCAAAGTTTGGGATCCAATACCAAAATATTTAACCCCCACAATACTTGTTTTTCTCCTGCCTCTCCCCCTCCCTTCTTCATTCCTGGGACTGAACCCAGTGCTTCATATGTGTTAGGCAAACATTCTTCTGTTGAGCTGTATCCTGGACCCCTAGCACATGTTTCTTTACCAAAGAGACTCACCTAAATCTGGGAGAGAAAACAGCAACGCTTACCACCGGTCAGTGGCACTGGAGGATAAACCAAGGTTACATATGCACAGGATAGTACAGTATGTAGCAAAGTGAGCTCAATCAAAATAATTAAAAAAGCATTAAAATGATAACGCACATTACGTTTTTAGCCACATAAATACTCATTTTAGAGATATTCCTGAAAACGAAATGAACAGTTCAGAATATGTACCATTTTAAGAGGTCACAGAACTCAAACAGTTTTCTACAGCAGAGAGCCAAGCTTGTATTAAGAGAAGGGGCTCACCTTTTAGGTCGAGGAAGGCCCATCGGGGTAAGGTTAGGGTCTGGCTTAGGGATGGTTTTCCGGATGCGAATCTGTGATACTTTCTTTGGCCTCTTCTCTGGCTCGGCCTATTTCAAAGGGTTAAAAAGAAAGATGGTCAAGTTCTAAGACATCTGAACTACGTAAAATTCCTTCCCTTGACACTCAAGATAATGCTTCCTCTGTTCAAAGACCACTCTAGGAAGAGGTTTATGACAAAGCTTGCCTTTATGGGATTGCACTTTCAGCTCCGATACAGAGGTTATCAATATAGTCTTTAAGTTTTAGAGACAGTAGTAAACTTGAGGAACATCATCATTTATCGTGTCTAAACGTATGAAGCAGCATTTCGGTCCAATTCTACAAATACTGGTAAATAAAAGAATCTGAAAAGGGGGCTAGAGAGATAGTACAGGGGGAAAGACACTTGCCTTGCATGAGGTCTATTCTGGTTCGATCCCTGGCACCACATATGGTCCCCCAAGCACCGCTAGGAGTGACCCCTGTGTATACAACCAGGAGTAAGCTGGGTGTGGCGCACCAAAACAAAACAAAACAAAAAACCTGTAAAACAATGCAGATGAAGAGACCCAGGATATCCTCTGGTGGTCTAATAGGTTAATAGCCTTGGTATTCCAGTACTAAGCTAAAGCAAAAGGTGTTAAGCAAACCCCAGGGTCACTTCTGTAAGCAGGGTGGTCTGTAGTCACCAATGGACACCTCTAACCGGGCCCCACCAGCACTTCTCAGTTACCTCTTTCTGCTCCGGAGGGGTGCTCTGTGGCCGGGGGCATGCTGCTTTCACCCCATCCAGCTCATCAAGCTCAGGAACCTGGAACTCAGAGGCTGAAAGCAGGAGTTTGCTGACAGTCGAGTCTGTTACCAAGCAAGACTTTGGTACCAAGGCAGGGAATGGAGACTCTAACCTAGGATCATGGACACAAAACCAGGGAAGAGAAATGAAACGGATTCCCTTTCGAGCCCTGCACATCCAACTCAACGTCCAGACCGGAGGTGGAGCTGCTGCTTCTCTCCTGCAATAGCATTTCCAGTCACCTGCTGTGAGTCACTTGGGGATAGTCTGTGTCAGCACATGCAAATAACCGCTAGGGTGGACAATCCATTACAGGGGAAGTGATTCTATCAAGAGAAAGTAATGGCACTGGGGGAGTGGAGAAAAAAGACAAGGTGAACTGGATGAAATTGGGCAGGGAAGCTGACAAGAGATCAAGAGAAGCTGGCAGCAGAGGGGCAGCAGAATGAACTGACCAGTGATTTGGATTCCTTTCCTCATGTGAAATCAATTACACATTCCTAGCCACTACATGGAATATACAACACATGTGAATCTCATATCAAGCTCAAAAAGAGTAAGAGGTTTGAATCATCCAAATGTGACTCATGCCACCTATTCGTGTACTCACTGGTATGCACATGTGCCTGCATGCATGCACGCACGTGCGCGCGCGCACATACACACACACACACACACACACACACACACACACACACACACATGCTGCTAGGACTCCTGTGACAGGTGCACCTAGATGCTTACCTCATCTGACTGCCGCTGGTGTTGAAAGTAACTTCCATGCCTGGAAGAGGCACATATGGTAACATGGTGTGGCTGAAGTGAAGCAAAATTAGAAAAGCAGTAAGTTAACAGGGAAGAGCAGGAAGGTATCTGATGCTGTTGCAGGTATTGATACCTGATACTCAACTAGAACCCTCAGAAGACAAGAGATGTCAGTCACTAACGAGAGTTTTGTTCTGGGTCTGTTTTCTCTTCAACACTTCTGGTCTCTTGAATCTTGGTGCCCTCCAAGACATACAATTCACATTTCTGTGCCCATCACTAGAAGGGAGAGGCAGGGCAACAAGATTTTTTTTTCTCTGTATTTAAACAGAAAAAAGATAGGATCTGTAAGCTTTTATTTTTTTAGAGGAAACAATACTATTAACCATGCTTCGAGACATTACTGTGCAATGTGGGAAAGTTTTTTGCACTTTTCAAAGTCAAGTCTGCAATCCAATATGGCTTATTTTACACGGTGTTTGTATGATGACTACGTAATCCAGACCCTTTTGGGGTTAACCAAAATTTGATGATTAAGAAAAATGGGGATAATCCAGATTTCTTAGTGTTTAGCACCAACTCTTGATTACCAACGAAAGCAAAGGGAGACAGGGAGGAATAGTAGAAAAGGAGCTGATCAAATCAGAAGTCAGAAGACATTAGTCTGGTTCAGGCAAAAGAAGAACCAGTCGAGTGATCTGGGTTAGGAAAAAAATCGGTATCTCAGGCTCGTGTTCTAAAAGGGCATAAACTTAACAACTTGACTGCTCATTACTTAATTATTTTATAGTCAAAGATGGATCGGATATACGATGGTGGTCGCTATCCTACCCAGATTTGCATTCAATACATTCTATGACATTCTCAATGGGAATATCACCTAAGTAATACTATAAGAGAATGTATTCCTCTTGTTACCTGACAGAGCTGTGAGGACATGGAAGAGATGAAAAAATGTGATGGTTTGCAGAGTAAAAGAGACAGGGCAAAGAATGGCAGCTGACCCCAGTGTCAGATTCCTGGTACCACATAGGGTCTGAGCCAGAAGTGATCCCTATATGCACAGCCAGGAGTCAGCCCTGAGTCTATCAGGTCTGGCACCAAAAAAGAACAAAACTAAGTTGGGGGCTGGTGAGATAGCAGAGCAAGTAAGATGCTTACCTTGCACACGGGTCAACCCAAAACCCCACATGGGGGTGCTCTATCAGGTGTGAGCCCTGAGATCAGAACCGGGAGTAAGCCAGGTGTAGAGGGAAAACTACCTGGCAAGGTATCAGAAAATGGAAATACAAAGGCTCCAACCAGTTGGGTATTTCCAGCAGTGCCTCTCAAATCTCCCTGGTAACATTAGGCAAAGAATATTTGGAAGAATGGGAACAAGTTTGGAGAGAGAGAGTGCAGGAGTTAAGGTGCTCGCCTGGCATATATGGTTGATCCTGGTTCGATCCCCCACATGGTCCCAGAGCACCACCTGAATGACCCTTAAGCACAGAGCCAAGAGTAACCCCTGAGCACCAATGGGTGCGACCCAACCAATGCCCCAGCCCCAGAATCAGAAGGAGAAAGGAATACTGTTTACCTGCTTGTGGTGCTCAGAGGTGGCTGCTCCTCACTGTGAGTGGAATGGAGAGAAGAAATTTTGAAGGGGCAGGAAGAAGGTCCATGCTGGCTCCAAATGGACAGCACTCGGCCCACGGAGTAGGGCAGAGAACAGAAGATCTTGTCGGCGATGGAGGCAGGAGACCTTAACCCTTTCAAGCCCTGTGTAAACTGGGTCATGAAGAGCCTCTGCACAGTAGGCATGTGGTTGGAGAAGTTCCGTTTCTTTGTCCAGATTCGGTAACATCCAGGGGAACAAAGTGCTAGCAGTGTATGAAGGCCCAGGACAGAGCAGCCTGCTCTGGTCTGCACGATGGCAGCGCCCCCGCAGTCCGGGAGAGGCACCGGAGGCTGTGGAGGGGCCCGGGCAAGTGACTGACTGAGGAGGGCAGGACCGTCCCTGAACGAGGCCATGCCAGGGAAACTGTGAGACAGAAAGAAAGAGAAGGCCCACTTGGGAGGTTGAGGCGGGCAGCAGGGGCCCCCCCGTAAGGCGAGCCTTGCCGGCGCGCAGTGCTCAGGGAAAGTCCTTGGGGACTCTGTTAGGCACTGAGAGCCTGATTTCACGGGAAAGGATGCCGGAAAGATTTCAGAACCAAACAGCACTGCTGGCATCTTGTTGCTCAAATGGACGAAGTTCAGCTTGATGGTTTCGAGCGAATAAAGAGTCCAGGGCTTACTGTGTGGCGTCTTATCCCACCCGCTAGCTGCCAAATGTGGATTCAGCTGCACTGTACTAGAAGAAAACCCGTCCAGGAGCCTGGTGTATCTGAATCGCTTGCAGCTTTTGGCCACCGGAAGAAGTTCTGAGGAACACCGCTGGGACCTCAGTTGCTGCGCCGTGGAGGCCGGGGCCAGTTTGGAGGCAAGGATGGACAGCTTGCGGAGTAAGGCTGAGTCTTTGGTAGGCTTCACATTCAGGCTCCTCAAAGAGTGGCACGGAGATACTTTCTGCTTTGGTATGTGGCGAACTCTGCTCCTGGAGGTGACTTTTTCAGGTTCCAACGGTGTGGGCACAGAGGCGAACTGTGAACTAAGAAATCGGTGTGCTTTTGTGGGGATGCTTTCGGAGGAACTCTTTAAGAAGGCAGCACTTCTGATTTTGCTTATTTTTCTCCCCATGTTGACTTGCTCCTGGCCGAAAGCTTTCTTACACGTTCGATGGGGCTGCTTCTTTACGGGAAGAACGCCTTTCCTGTGTGAAGTGTTCCCAAAGGCACCGTGTACTTTGTCACGCCCAGCAGCAGCGGGGTCTTGTGCTTTCTGGGGGTCGGCACGAGGAGCTGTGCACAATTCAATCCTCTTTTTCACTGCGTGATGCGCACTTTCTTCTCTGGGGCCTTTCAATTTCTGTTGCTGTACAGCACTGGCACCCTGGACCAGTTTTGCGGGGGCGATTTCTTTCGCCATGGCAACCTCCTCGTCGCCATGCTTCGGGAGGCTCTCATTCTGCACCTCTGCCAACACATTAGATGAGCTGCACTGTTCCAGGATCGTGGGTGCTTCTGTTGGATGTGTGTCCTCCTCCTCCTCCTCCTTCTGCACCACGTCGTCCCAAACCCTCTGGCTTTGGTGTTCTCTGGCAACGCCAAGCACCCTCTGCGATTTAGTATGGGCCCGAGGAATCTCACTTGCAACATTTCCACCACGATTACCTTCTCGGGTAACCATCCCAGCTTCCTCCCCAGCAGTCTGCTGGTCCAGTGAGTCCCTCTGATCTTCAGTTTCTTTTCCGTGCCCAGTAGCTTCTGTCTCCATCGTCACAGGCAGACCTTTCCCACTCATGCCTCTGTGGTTGCCTTCCTCTGGCTGACTTCTATCCCTCAGTGTTCCGTCCTCCCTCTTAGGCACAGCTGTACAGACACTGACGTGTGCACAAAGCTGTTTGCCCTCTTTTGGCTTAACATAACCTTCCAGGCTAGTTTCTTCACAATTAAAATCAGTTTCTGAGTTCTCTTCAGAAGACAGAGGCATCCCAATGGATTTCAACTGCCCGGGGGGTACAGAGTTCTCATCTTGGCACCTAGAAGCTGTCAGGTCTCTTGAGGAAACTGCAAAGGTGTTTTCCTTGTCAAACTCAGAATTTACTTCGTGACTTGATCCTTCGATCTTTCTTTGCTTTTTTCTCCGAGATGAGCCTTTAACTTGTGGGCCATGATGAATATGATTCAAAGACACATTAACTCTATCCAATATTCTTACATTTGGTTCATGATCTGCAACAGACTGTATATCACCAGACCGTACATCACGGGCACAAGATTCCGGACACACTTTTTTTCCACAGTCTTTTAACAACCTGCACACTTTCTCACCACATGATTTTTTAACTTCGGAAGATTTCACTGTAAAGAAAGCCACGCCTGGAAACTCTGAATCTTTAACTCCCATCACAGCAGCACTGGGCCCTCCTCTCTCAGACAGCGTGCCTCTCGAGGTTTCACATAAGGTCAGTCTATCTTGCTTTTCACCACCATCTAGGGCACCACATTCTATTATACTCAGGAATCCTTCTAGAGGCTTATCATTACAGTCTGTGTAGACAACATCTACTGTACCGTCTGTGGCCGCCTCACTGTCAGGAACACTTTCCAAGGTGCCTTTCTTTGGACTACCACAAGACAGAGAAGTGTTACTGCCTGAATGGATGCGATCCTTTTGACTGTGGCTTCCCTTTCTGCTAAGCTCTGTGGTGGTCTCTCTCTGGTCACTACCTTGTGTCTCTTTAACTGATTTATCTTCATTGCTGTATACAATCTTTTGGTTATTCTGGTAATCGAGGCCTTCATCTTGACTCTTCTGATCTAGAGTCGGGACTTCTGGGTTCATGTTTTTAAAACTGGAGAGCATAATAGCAGAAGACTGGTTCAACAATGTTCCAGGACTTGGAATGGTTACAGACTGGTTCTGTTCTTCAGGGGCACAGTCAGACATGTTATCCTTACAAAACACTGTCTCTTTGGATATATTCCGTTCCTCCCCTTCTAGCCCTTCTTCACTAAGCTGGTGACTGCTGGTGTGAATGGTCTTGTTTGAAGCTTCACTATTTGACATGCCAGCTGCGGGCTTGTTTCTGATCTTATCTCCTAGAAAGCTGTCTTTAGTTTCCTTATCATCAAGATCACTTTCTTTTGGTGTATCACCCACTCTGTGGATGCTACTTTCCATTAAGCCTTCTCTTCCTGGGGAGTGATCACTGTGCCGAAACGCATTTTCATACTTGTCTGCCAAAGAATTTTCCACTCTGGGAGTGATCTGGCTGGACCCAGAGGCAGCACAAACAGAACACATGATCTCTTCTGGTGCATTTTTTCCCACACAATGGCAGTTCAAGAGATCCTGAGACTGAACACTCTGACATTCCACAATAAAGGTGTCTTGAGGAAAGCCAGCAGCTGCTTCTCTACCTGAAAGCGGTCTGGAATGCAGCTCTTCTGTTCCTGAACCCACCCTTTCCCTCTTCTTTTCTTGGCTTCCCAGTCTGATATTTAAGGTGAGACTGTTTGAAGAGGCACCATATGTTTTGTCACCTGCTGGAGAGATCTCTTTCACTTCCGTCTTCATGGGAATGGTCTGGGTATCAGCAATGGTGTCTACTCCATCCTTGAATGGAGGGCGATGGCTCTGCAGAGAGTTCTTGCTTGTTGCTAGTGGAATTTCTTCATTAGCTGGCAACTTCTCAGAGTCTGGAGAATTAAGGGACACTTGATTTATAACACATTCATTTTCTATTTTGTTAACAACTAGTTCCTTAGTAGAAGGAAGTTCATTTATCTCACAGGCAATGCTCTGGCTCTGTGGAATATTGTCCTGTGAAGTCTGTACATTTTTTCCTGACTCAGACTGGAAACCAAATTCAGGGGATGATGACAACTGAGCAGTATCATTCTCCGGTTTTGCTAACTCATTCACTGGCCTTATCGGGTCCTCAGGCACTAAATTCACAAGGGATTTTCTTTCAATCAGAAATTCATTTAACTGGGTGCTGCTGTCCAGATTAAGTTGAGACTCTCTAACTAAAGTACGAGAGTCTTTACTATAATTTTTTTCACTTAACATTTTGGGCTTCATCGTGGTCGTCTGTTTTGGCTCTTCAATCAGCATCAAAGAGGAAACAATGTTCTCTTCCGAGTCTTGGCCTGGATGGCTCATATTAGCAAAAGTTTTTATATGGTCCTCATGGTTTGTTAAGCTACCCTGACTATCTAACGTGATTTCCCCATCTTTTTTATTAAACATTATTTCCGTGGTTTCAGTAAAAGAACTGTGTAGTGAAGAACCAGAGTTGTCTGTCTGGACACTGCCTTGTCTACAACAATTATTCTGGGCATTTTCTTTTGGAAAGTCAATAGTCTCTTTGTCACCAAAACAACAATCACTAGTATATTCTTCTGGTTCCCTGACACTAATAAGAAAGACTTCCCCTGGAGTTTTCCTCCTGGAATCCAAAAACTGTTCATTATTGTCCTCTTGAGAAGCCAAGTTCTTGCTTTGATCTGTTTTTTCTGCAGATCTCTTTAGCGAACTATCACTTCCAAAATTACATTTTTCTAAAAATACTGTTCTAGATTTTGGATCAGACAAACTTGATGTGACAAATGCAACTTTGGAATTTTCTTCTAAGGGTTCTACAATCGCTACAGTTCTCATGTTTTCGGGATGGTCTTGTGTAGAACTGTGTCGCTCACTGCGGTGTTGGTGATTGTCATCTGCTTCACAGACAGAGTTTGATTTAAACAACTCTTCCTTCCCATTGTCCACTTTGGAAATGGCGCTGTTCCCTGGTAATAATGACAACCAAGAAAGACAAGTTTTTAATTCTTCACATTCTTTGTTTTTAAGAGTTGCTTCTGTTAATCCTGGATCCACAAAGTTAGTTAAAGGCTCTAGGGAATTTAATGTGCTGATTTCTGAAACATCACCACTGGTCATGATTTTGTCTACTCCTGGGTAGTCGATGCACCCAGCTGAAAGAACTTTACTCACATTGCCATTCTGGTGTCCATTATTATTTGTTTTAGTACCACTGTCCTTCATACCTTGTACTTCTTCAGTAGACTTAAGCAGAGTTCCCGTTGTAACCTGAACAATTCCTTCTGCACAAGAGAAATGAACCCCAAATCAGTTTGTAATCACACACACAGAAATTATTTACTTTACCTTCAAGAATTAAATCCTGCAACCAACAACAACAAAAGAATTAAAGAGAATTATGAGGTTAATACAATATTACTGATTTTGTTGTTCTCTTTAAAATGAGAGTTAGCCAGAGAAATGGTACAGGGGTGAAGGTGTCTGCCTGCACGCAGTGATCCAGCTTGTTCCTTGCAACACATATGGTCCCCTAAGTACCACCAGAAGTTATCCTTTAAGCATAGAGCCAAGAGTAAGCTGTGAGCATCACAAGCTGTGGCCCACTCCCCTCACCCCACCCCCAAAAAGAGAAACAAAAGTCTATCTGACAGAAACAGGCAATTTTAAACAAATGAATTTTTCTAAATGTTACTTAAATATACTTATTTAACTAGACAATTAAAGACAACATGTAGAGATATGTGCCTAATCAGGCTCAAGAATTTGCTATTCTGGGGGCTGGTATATGATTTGGTGATGTATGTTTTGCATGCAGAAGACCTGGGTTTGATCCCCAACACCTTGGTGGAGGTGGGTGAGTTTCCATCCTGAACATTAAAATAGAAACAGAAGTTTAGATTTAGATTTCTAGATTACCATGACTTGAATAGGTGATGAAAAAAGGCCAGAGATGAAACCACCTTTGAAAAAGAATGACAATTATTATGCAAAAGAGATTAATCTATAAGTAGAATTATTAGACTTAAACCCTAATTACTGCAATAGCTACGTCTCTACAAGCTTGGTCATGAGTGGGTATTTTATTAAAGCTGAGTGACAGGGATAAAGGGATTTGGCACACTCGCCACTTCTGAATAAATTTTAAAAATTTTCCATCATGTAGCATTAAAGAAGCAAAAAATCTAAGCAGAATGTAAGTGCAATTCATGAAAAAGTTTTATTATTATATAGCTTCTAAAGATCTCCAAGTTTGTTATTTACAAAGAAATACTCAGCCTCTTTTTCGGGATACAAACTCAAAGCTACACACACACACACACACACAAGTGCATATATATCCATAAATGTACACAACAGAATACCTGTAAGAACCCACAAGGAAATTATTGGTATGTAATAGCATTCAATAAACATTTGTAGACTTAATGAATACGGTTAAAGAAAACCAACAAATGTTATTAAGAACATTTTCCTGGGCTTCTCTGTCCATTTTTTAAGAAGCAAGGAGAGGGGCTGGAGAGATAGTGACTGACCTGGCTGGGTTTAATCCCCAGCGAACCATCTGAGCTGCGCCAGGAGTGATTCCTGAGTACAGAGCCAGGAGTAAGCCCTGAGATTCATCAGGTGTGGCATGTCCCTCCCCCCGACTCCCTAGAAGAAGCAAGTAGAGCAGCAATCACTAGAGCTGGAGTGACATGATACCAGAGTAACCTGGGTTTTGTGATATTACTTACCTCTATGGATCTCAGTGTCATCCTTTGAAAAAAAAATAAATAAAAGAGAAGCAGACTTACCTCAGTGTACTGTGAGGATTAAATTAAGTAAAACATGTAAAACACCACTTGGTATAGTGCCTGGCATTTAAAGGAAAGGTGTCTTTCCTTTACTCTGCTTTCTGATTCTTATTTTACTGGACCTGGGAATAGTTAAAATGATAAACTTAATAACCACGCTAGAACAGAGTTTAAGGCTATTCGGAGCAAACAGAAGATGAATAAGGTTCCATAAGCCTACAGAAAGACCAAGCGTTGACAGAGGCAGCCTGAAAATCCTAGTGCCCCATACAATATTTCACTTTAATTGTAGCCAACTTCCCATATCCCAACAATTCTACCTATTCTAGAATTGCTACCATGACTTTCTAGGCATCGGTGCTCTAACTGGTTATTCTCTCTCCACTAAACACCTCAGTCTTCGTGAAACCACCCCTGACTATAAATGGGCCTCCCCTCCATGTTCCAGCACAGGCCCATTTGTATTCCTCATTAGAACTACTCGGGAAAACTACCTCTTCATCCATCTCCAAACTGTTTGTACTGAACAAGGCTCTTAAGCCGAGATTCTCTCTCGGAGCTCCTTCCTGGTGGAAGAACATCTGATCTCCAGTTAGACAAGGATCCTGGGATGGGGTCAGACCAACAGTTCAGTGGGGAGGGCACTGGCCTTGCACACAGCTCACCCGAGTTCTATCTCCAGAATCCCATATGATCCCCTGAGCACAGCTAGGACTGACTCCTGAATGCAGAGCCAGGAATAAGCCCTGAGCATCACTGAGTATGGCCTTCCCCACCACCCTGAAAAGAAAGAAAGAAAGAAAGAGAGAGAGAGAGAGAATGAACCCTGGAGAGAAGGCAGAGCAAGAGCTATTTCCTGGGCAAAGGAAGGAAAGAGGAACTATCTAAAGCTTGAAAACATGGTGATATCTTCAAGCATTCTTAATCATATTCGTTTTTCATTTGGGGGGCTACATCTGGCAGGATCCAGGTGCCACTCCTGGTTCTGTGCTCAGAGGTCACTTCCAGCAGTGCTGAGAGATAATGTGCTATCAAGGGATCAAAGCATATAAGAGGCCAATAATGGAAGGGGTCACAGAAATAGTCCACTGAGCTGTGTGCATGCAAAATATACTTTGCATGTGGGCAGCCCAGATCCCCAAAGAACCAGAAGGAGCAAACCCTGAGCTTTCTGCAGCCCTGAGCAGTAATGGATACGGGACACCCCTCCCACCAAGACAACTAACTGTAAAAACTAAAACCGTAACATTCTTAGAAGCAAACAAAGAAGAAGGACAGAGAGATGGCTCAAAGTGCAGAATGCTTTGCATGAGGGAGGCACAGGTTCAATTCCCAGCGACTGCTGGGAGAAATCTCAAGCACAGACCTGGGAGTGCTCCCTCCTCCCCCACCCAAGTACAAAACAAGAAAACACAAGAATATAGCTTTTTGAATAAATATTTTTTTTATAAATAATGTTAACTTTTCATGATTTCAGGTTAGGTAAAGTAAAGTAAAGTAAAGTAAAGTAAAGTAAAGTAAAGGCCCTCCCGTTGATCATCGATTTGCTCAAGCAGGCCCAGTAACGTCTCCATCGGAGACTTTGTTGTTACTGTGTCTGGCATATCGAATACTCTCGGTAGCTTGCCGGGCTCTCCGAGAGGGGCGGAGGAATCGAACTTGGGTCAGCCATGTTGGCTGCATGCAAGGCAGACGCCCTACCCACTGTGCTATCGCTCCAGCCCCAGGTTAGGTAATGATTACTTAAAAAAAAAAAAAAGAAAAAGAATGCAATTGAGAATACTTTAACGCTAGAGTTCGCCAAAACCAAAACTTTGTTTTTGCTTTTGGGCCACACCTAGCAATGCTCTGGGGACCAGCGCTCTGGTGCTAGGGATTGTACCCAGTGCAGTCATATGCAAGGCAAGTAACTTACCCACTGTACTATCTCGCTAGCCCCTTTCAAATGAAGACTTTTTTGGGGCAAGGGAGATAGTTCAAAAGACTGGAGTGCATGTTTGGTATTCTGACACCCAGAGGCCTTGGATTTAATCCCTGGTTCCACTTGGTAGCCCTAGGCATTGCTGGTGTAACCCCAAAAGGAAAATAACCCATCCCCTAAAACAATGAAAACCTTTGTTTTCTAAGAAGTCCGGGATTCAATCCCTATAATTGCCAAAACAAAACAGTAAATATAAGTTTTCTACTAATAATTCAATAATACAGATTAAAAACGAAGGATCAGAAAGGTAGAACAACAGGTAAGGCACTTGTCTTGCATGCAGCTAACAAAGGTTAGATTCCCCAGTACCATGCAGGATCCCAGAGCACTGCTGAGAAGTGATTCCTGAGCACCGCCAGGTGTGGCCCCCCCCCAAACCAACAAAAATACATAAAAATAAGGCAGCGAAGAGCCTGGTAGTATAACATGGGACCGAAGAATACTTACCTTACAAACAAATGGTCCAAGTTTAAATCCCCTGAGCACAATCCTGGCAAGCAATTTGTAGCTGCACCATAACATGTGTGTGTAAGCACCACAAAAGGAGTATGGAATCCAGCGAGCACCACAATTAAAAATATGTGCACGTGCATTGCCAGGAAGTGACTCTGATGACCCTGAAGCGACCACCCCACAAATACCGCAAGGCAACTGTTCCTCAACTGAGTGTTAAAACACTGCCACCGGATGATGTGTGTCACCTGGGGCAGCACCACAGCTTCCAATGTGTGAGCACCACAGTCACGCATGTGTGCAGCCCATCATCCCAGGAAGAACAACAAAGACAACATGGAAAGGAAGGGGGCGTGGGGGTAAAAGAGCAGCGGGCCAAGTCTCCACCCTTACGTACAGGCAGTAGAGAGCATCTTCCTGCTGAAGAGTAGGAGACAGGGGACAGTGGAGTACCCTGAAAGTGAAGATAGAACAGGGTGGAGCATGCTTGCCTTGCATGTGGCTGATCCCAGTTCAATTCCTAGCCCTATCAGCACACACGGTCCCCCAAGCATCAACAGGGGTCACACATGAGCACAGAAGCCAGAAATAGCCCCTTACATGAGTACCTCCCAAACCCTGAAAAACTTCACATTTATGTTAAGTGGCTGATCTGATGTGGCAAGTATGGCTCTTTACCAGGGTTATTTTCATCCCCCAGCCCACCACCTCAGACTTATGAGAAAAGCAATAAGCAAACAAACCCCAGAGAACAGCATTCAAGAATGCCAAACCTATAGTACTCAAGACTAACTCTCAAGGCTCCCCCCCCCCCAAAAAAAAAGTGGGAGAAACTGTCATAGTCGAGAGGAGTCACGAGGAAATAAAGGTAATGTGGCATCCTGGATGGTCTCCTAGAACAGAGAAGGAAATCAGGTAAAAACAAAAGAAATCTGAATAAACACAGACTTTTAAAAATAATATATATTTGGGGAGAAAAAGAGTAATATATATATTTGGGGGCCAGAGAGACAGTACAAAGAATAGGATGCTTGCCTTGCATGTGGCTGCCCTG